ACAATTCTGCTTTTTTGGCCTTTTATGTTTAGAAGTAATTATGTAGACAAGTCCATGTGCCTTTCTAGACAGAATTTTAGAAGGTAACTCTTAGGCAACCCGGTCCCAAGCCATGTAGGGCAGTGATGGCTATAACCTTTTTGCCAGGAGGGGGGCGGGGGAGGTTCAGGCGCATGGGTGCCCATAATTCTATGTGTCCTGCCCGACACATGCACGTGTGACCCCCCCTTCCCCCCCGCTCCTGGCATGCGATGGCCCAGTAGGCCCATTTTTCTTTCTCACCTGGCTTCAGATTCTCTCTATGCATCTGGGGAGGGCAAAAACAGCCTTCCCCACCCCCTCGGAGGTCCTCCAGAGGCCCAAAATGGTCCGTTTCCCAATTTCCGGTTGGACAAGAAATGACTTTTTTGCTGTACCCAGCTTCCAGAGCCTCTCTAGGAGTCTCTGGAGGCTGGGGACAGCAAAAAACATCACTTCCTGTCCAACCGGAAGTTGGGAAACGGGCCGTTTTGGGCCTCCAGAGGACCTGGGGAAGGCTGTTTTCGCCCTTCCCAGATGCATAGAGAGGATCTGGAGCCAGGTGAGAAAGAAAAACAGGCCTTCCCCACCCATCCCAGGCCTTCCAGAGGCAGGAAACAGCCTGTTTCTCTACTTCTGGTGGGCCCAGAAGGCCCAAAAATCAGCTGGCCGGCATGCACATGCGCACCGGAGCTGAGCTGGCATGCCCACTGATATGGCTATGCGTGCCACCTGTGGGGATTTTCCCCCACCCTAAGGCCAGCTGCTGTTGGTGTAAAAGTGGCCTCTGGAGTTGTCTGGGGCAATCTCTCAATGAAGCCATAGGTTTGCCATCACAGATGTAGGGTTTTAAAGATGAAACCAGTATCTTGAATTGCATCCAGAAACAATATCTTCCTTTGCTGGCCGCGTTCTATTAAGGCTATGCTGAAGAGGCATTCTGCTTATATTTGTTTGCATGTGAGTAACCTGTCATTGTGATTCAAAAGACTGCTTGATTGGGGTCATTGGGAAGAGCTAGTTCACACTCAGATGAATGAAATCAGAATTTAAAGTTGATACTACAATCAATTACTTATAGACTCCTCTGTACTAGATGTGTTGAAACAGAGAATAAACAGCCATATTTCAAAAATACTTTTAGCAGGATATATACATTGATTCAGATTTCTGTTCTGTTCGATTCAGTGTCCTAAAACTGCTTTGGTTTTGTGTCCTCCTTATGGTTTGGTTCTCTGAGTCCTCAAGAGATAAAAGGGCTGCAGCTGAGGTGGTGAGATGGGTTTCCAAACAAGAACAAATGGTATGAGGCCAACATGAATGACCTTGCTGCCCTGTCCAATTTGTAACTTGCTTAGCATCCTCTTCAGTGTCCAACATGAGATTCCATACAGAGTCCGTACCGAGCAACGCCTCTGTATTTGCATAATGTCATTACCTTTTCATTTTATCCCACATTATACCTCTTAATATAAACAATTAACTATAAACAATTTCAGTCTCTCTGAAGTCTCTGCAGCCTTTTGCCCATTTGGAAATTTTGATAGAATATTATGGGCATTCTCGGAAAAAGAGCATCAGGTTTGATATGGTCTCTCAGGAAACACCTACTGTATTTTCTAGTAGTCAAACTAGTGATGTTTTACTGTCTCACTCTTTCTCAACTCCCAGGATGGTCTCTACAATCCACATTTCTTCTTGCCTTTTTTCTGGACAGATAGGGACCCATCTAAAGAAAGCACTGGCTTGTAATCATGTCAATTTCTTAAGAAATCTTGCAGTGCCCAGAAACTTAGAGCTGGCATTGATTATGCAGCATAACCCATTAAAAAAAAAAAAGTGAAAGGACTTAAAAAAAATGTCAAGCATGTGCTAGGGAAAATGTCATTAGTGCATTGACCTATTAACATTAGTTCTTCCAATCACTGAAAATCTTGTCATTCTGCACTCTTTTATGTAACTATTCTTATAATAGTCAAATCTGTGAAAAAGTAGATAGTACTGTACTTCTCTATTGATGGCTTTACAGGGAATAGGACAATTATGTGAATTAAAGAAGTGTCTACTGCAATCACACCAATTGCTAATATCGACACAGCTTATTCTCAGTAGATGACATATTGTGTTTGAATACTGTTCAGAGTTTTGAAAGAAAAATATAGTGATGATTTCCATGAAATATCTTGGTAAGATTAATTAGAAGGGTTCAGGGAAGTTTCACAGGAGATAATCCATTCATTTAGAGCTTGATGACGTAATTAAACATGTATTTTTGTTAATAACAAACTCAAATCAGTCCAAGCAGAAAGGAAAGAAGGAAAGAAAGAAAGAAAGGTGCTAAAGATAACTTCATTGCCTGAATATTGATCTTATGATTTCAGATAATGTTACTTCAGTGATTGCCTCCAATTTGCAACATAATAGAAGGCAAATCTTATTCATCTAAAATTGCATCTAGAAAGTATCATCACAGTAAAGCTTACCAAGACATTTGACATTAATGGTTCAAAGAACCTCAAGATAGCCAGCTCTTTTGGCATTAAAAACCTCACTCCAGTAGGACCCACCATCTTTAACACATAGGCCAACATTTGAAGGAAAGACCAAAAAAAGAAAGAAAGAAAGAAAGAAAGAAAGAAAGAAAAAGAAAGGGACTAGTTGTTTAATTGATTTGGAAAACAATTTTTGATCCCAATGAAAACAAAACCTCTCAAACTGGAAGTTGTTAGCCTATTAGCTTGGAAGACTTCTTTGCTAAAAATCTTCAAAACCTCAATATTACTCATGGGTGTATAATTTCTCAGTTAGGAGCCGTTACCGTATTATACTTTATACATTTATGTGACAGAACCCTTGGAATTAAAACAAAATTTGCTCTCACAAACAAGTGTAGATCCTTGTGGTGGAAATGTGTCTTTTGATAAAGGTGTGTTTATCTAATACAGACATATTTTTTTAAATACAAATTTCTGAAACTATTAAGAATGGATTTTCATTGAGTGCAGACAGCAAATTCTAAATTTAGTTTTTACCGCCAAATCAATGTAATAGATTTTGAATTGCTACTCACAATTGGATTGGATAAACTATTCTTTTATTGGATAGGTATAATAAAAGATTAATGACCTTTTACTTTGGAGAAGGAAATTCTTAATAAATTGAAAATACCAATTCCTGAAACTCAACCAATAGAGTTCCTTTCCAGTCTCTGTAATCTCACTCTCAAAAAGCTGCATAAGAGCTTTCTCTTATACAAAGCATTGTCTCTTACATGCAGTCCTCTTTTCAAAAGATTGTGCTCTCTTTCCTGATTTTACATTTGTTTTTGGCTCAGCCAATATAAAACTGTCATTTTTCCCCAGGTGAACCAGGCAAGAGCAACCAAAAGAATATATTTATCCCAGAAAGCAATACAGAGAGTAGTCTATTGTACATAAGCATTGGAATGCATACACCTTTACTCAACCAGCAGATGTTTTCCACAATGGATGCTTACATTTAACTAATTGAAATGTTTGCCAATTGATTAATTACTTTGATTGGTGTACTTCTGCTTCAAAGCAGGCAGAGGTTAATTACTCGGAGTAGTCCATAAGGAGAGTTTCCAGAACTCTGTGTAGACACAATTTAATTATGCAGTCTATGAGGCATGGTCAACAATTGCTGAAGAACTTTACAAATGATGGTCATGGTACATAAAAGAATAATGCCTGAATTTTGAGGTACAAACTGGATGTTGTTATAATGAATCGCTGTCCATGCTCTATAAAAATCTATACTCTGTGGTGTTAGAAAAGTAATTTCTGAGGAGCACTGTAATAAATGGCCTGATAGCAATTTAGTAAATACTTTCATAGCCCGTAATCTGCAGGAAAGCAAATAGCAGTTTACTGACCTTTCCATTATATTTTTTCACCCACAGATACAGTTGAAAGAATTTTATTTATCTCTGAGGAATATAATACAGAACTTACAGCCTTTTTATTTTCTTTCTGCTGTATCTGGTCTCAACCTCAAATAATGGTTAGGTACATATGTCTTTCTAAAATATGAATGGACAATAGAGATTTTTTAAAATGAATACTTTTCTATTGCCCTTTGTCAGCTTCAGCCTCCAGATGCTGTTTATAAGAAATCAACTCCAGAATTATGTTCTCCATGAATAAAAGAGTAAGTCCTGCTGAGAAATAGGCGGCTTTTGGAGTTAGAAGCAGGGCGGGTTTCAAAACCCGTTGCTACTGGTTTGCTCATGGGCGCTCACGCACTCATGCGCTTGCCGCTTCTGCGCATGCCAGGTGGTTCATCCAGGTGGCTGGGCGGAGCCTCCCGCCGATGCCGCTAGTGGTTTGCCTGATCCAGTGTGAACCAATAGCAACCCACCACTGGTTAGAAGGATATGACCTGAAATTTGGGTGGCATAGATAATTGTGGTATGATAAAGGTTAATGTGAATTATAAAAATCATTATGTTAGATGTATCATATTGAGAATATGTAATAAATAACAACCTAGGTTGTGCCTGAAAACAACTTTTTTGGATCTCAGCACAAGAAGCAGTTTGGATGAGAAAAACCTAAAATAACCAAGAACATTTTTATCTGGGCACATTTTTGTCTCTGCTTGGGTTCTTTTCTTCCAGATATTCAAGATGAATACAGCAGGTAGTTTGTCAAATGTTTTGCTATATTTACAGTTCATCTAAGAACAGTATATTACAATATCACAAATATTATTAAAAGTGTGAAATTTGTTTTATTAATTGATAACAATTTTATTGATGTTTATTGACTATTTTGTTCATTTTAATAATCCTCTTATCAAGCTTGTGATATTTTAATTAAGAGATAACACAAATAGTGTGATAATGGTGATCATGATAATGAGATGAAATGATGATGACAACAACAGTACTTGGGTCAGAGTCAGATAATTAAGGTGCTAATTTCTTTTTAAAGAAAAAAAAAAACCCACAACACATATAATGTATGTCACTTTGTAGCCACCTTTTTATGGAAAAACATCATTATCTGGGATAACAAGTTTATCTAGTTGTTCTTTGAAAACATTTCACTTCTCATCCAGGAAGCTTCTTCAGCTCTGGATCATGACCTGGATGACTGAGAATATCCCTAGACAGGTTTATCTAGTCCATTGACTTGTTTCCTTAGTGACTTCTTCGGTATCTATGGCACATCACCCAGGACATGAATGTAGTAACATTTCCCAAGTGTTCCCAAAAAATTGATAGTGAGGAAAGGGATACCTTTGTATATGGAGGTAAAATATATTAGTCATGACTGTTAGTCAGTATATTTTGAAGATATTTCTTATGTTTCCTGAATGTTGATCCTAAATTATAACATCCTCTAAGGGTCTGAAACCTGGCTATTCTTTAGCAGTATTCAGACTATTTTCTTTGATTCTGCACATCATTTATGCACATTGTTTTTATCAGAAGAAGATGGACTAGACCTAAAGCAAAGGGGACCAAAAACACATTTTACAATCCGATTCTTCTTTAACAGCTGCAGCATAGAGATTTGAGCAAAATCCTATTATCATGTGGAAAAAATAAAAGATAAGTATGTTAATTAGCTCAAAGAATTTCTTAGTTGGTTAGAGAAAACATATCCATTGATCAGCAGTAAATAATATAGCAACCTCAGCTGTAATGCCCTATTTTGGAGAGTCTTTTGGGAAATTCTTTTTTTGAAAAGTTTTTTATTTTTTATTTTTCTGAATATAAATATTCCATCTTTCCTTAAATAGTGTGTCATCTGGGGTCAAATATCTCTTTGCAACAAACTTCAACATTTACAACATCATTCACATTAACATTAATTATCTGATCTTAAAACTATAGTATGTTAAACAGTTAAACATTAGAAGCCTATTCATTTTTCTGTTAATATGTCTTCTAGTGTAAATACAATAATAATAACATTACACATAATTATCCTCGTTTTCATAATACTAACAATTATCACCTTATTTATACATCTATCTTAACATATTTTCTATTCTTCTTTAATCTTCTCTTTTTAGTTCCAGTTTTCCTTTTTAATACTAATACATAATACTAATACATAATACTAACAATTATCATTATTTATTACCTCTATCTTAACATATTTTCTATTCTTCTCCTTTTATTTCCAGTTTCCCTTTTTACTCTCTAACCATATCATATAATATTCAGTTTATTCTTTCCTGAAGTTTTTTATTTTTTATTTTTTCTGAATATAAACATTCCATCTTTCCTTAAACAGTGTGTCATCTGGGGTCAAATATCTCTGTGCAACAACCTTCAACATTTACAACATCATTCACATTAACATTAATTATCTGATCTTAAAACTATAGTATGTTAAACAGTTAAACATTAGAAGGCTATTCATTTTTCTGTTAACATGTGTTCCAGTGTAAATACAATAATAATAACATTACACATAATTATCCTCATTTTCATAATACTAACAATTATCACCTTATTTATACATTTATCTTAACATATTTTCTATTCTTCTTTAATCTCTTTTTATTTCCAGTTTTCCCTTTTTACTCTCTAACCATATCATATAATATTCAGTTTATTCTTTCTACCTAATTGCTAGTGTTAATCTGTTCATTTCTCCATATTCTAATATTTTCCTAACCACTTTCTCATCAATAGGAATCTCTTCTCTTTTACAAAGTTGTGCAAATACAATTCTAGCTGAAGTTAAAACATGGATAAATAAATAAGTATTCTCTTTATTATAACTTTCGGATAAAATCCCCAGCAAAAATATTTCTGGCTTTAGCTCAATGTGTTGTTTTATCATCTTTCCCAACCATGTCTTTATTTTTGTCCAATATTTTTTGGCTTCTACACATGTCCACCACATATGATAGTAAGATCCAGATATCTGGTGGCACTTCCAACATTTAGCTGACTTATCTTTAAACATCTTTGCCAACCTCGCCAGTGCAAGGTGCCATCTATAAAACATCTTATACAAGTTCTCTTTATATGCAGTCAACATCGTTAATTTATAATTCCTATCCCACAGTTTCTGCCACTTATCTAATTGTATTGTGTAACCAAAATTTTTTGCCCATGCTATCATTGTCTCCTTTACTTGTTCCTCTTCCAACTTTATACTCAGTAAGTAGCTATAAAATTTCTTTAGTAATCTTTCTTCTGTTCCTGTTAGTATTTTATCTAATTCTGTTAATTCTTTATAGAAACCATGTAATTTGGCACCTTTCTCGTATCTAGAATGTATCTGCACTTGTGAATACCACGTTATATCGATCCCTTGCTCACTCATTTCTTTAGTCTTCAGTTCCCCCTTTTCATTCAAAATATCTTTATATCTAACAATATTTCCCACATTAATAACATTTGGGTGAATCAATGCTTCCATTGTTGAAAGCCAAACTGGTATCCTCAAATAATGCTGTTCTTTAATTTTCTCCCATATTAATATTAATGCATTCCTTATGTAATGTCTTTGAAAGTATCCATGTATCTTATTTTTCCCCATACCACAAAAAAGCATGACAACCCAATTGTAAATCATGCCCTTCCAATGTCAATAATCTTGTATTCCTCAATACAATCCATTCTTTCATCCACATTAATACAGCAGCCTGGTAATACAATTCCCAAATTCTAATGAAAGTCATTATCTATGTACAAAGTTCTGAGTGAGGCCTATATCTGATGGTGGTCTAATTACAGATATTAAGCTTGGTGGAGCAGCACTGATAATCGACATGTTTAGATCCTTTAGAATAGGGTTTTCCAACCATGGCAACTTTAAGACTTGGGCACTTCAACTCTCAGAATTCCCCAGCCAAGCTGGGAGTTGAAGTTCCCAAGTCTTAAAGTTGCCAAGGTTGGAGAACCCTACTTTAGAATCCTTGAGATCCTATATGATAAATTGGTAAAATGATAAAACTCACTGGAGTTTTGAATTTCTAGTAGCTAAGTCCAGCTTGGCTGCCATCAGCAGAACAATCTTTTAAAAGTACTTCTCAGTTCTGGACTTCGAAATGCATAAATCATGGGATCAATGACAGAATTGAACATGATTAATATACCATTGACATGGAAGATGGACAAATAGCAAATGCAGTAAGGGTTTTCGGGGCAAAACCGTACCAGAAGCATGTGAAGAACAAAGGGAGCCCAGCAGCAGAGAAAAACACCAAGTAACACTGTTAACGTAATGGTTCCTTTCATGTTAGCTCTCTGTTGGACAGAAGTTGCAGGCATCAAGGCAATCTTTATGGCATGGGAACGGGCAAGCAGAAACATATGGATGTAAAGGCAGAGAATAAAAATGAGCATGAAAGTAAACAGAGCCGAGAAAGATACAATAGTGGGGGTCTCGTGGGAGAAAATCACCACTACTATGCCGCTCCCTGCACAGAAAGCCCAAATCACCAACAAAATCAGTAAAGCCCGCTTTTGAGTCATGATGTTATGATAACGCAGCGCATAGAATATAGTTATATATCGGTCAGCGGCAATGGCTGAAAGGCTGAAAATCGATCCCAGTAGAGATAAAATAAACATGAAATCTATAATATCATCCAGAATTGTTTCCATCTTTCCATGACATGGAAGGGGTCTCATTTTGCAAAATATGATATAGAAGATATTTTCCAGCGTCTTGGACAAGCTTCCTAACATGTCTGAAACAGCTAAGCTGCAAATGAAAATGTACATGGGGGAATGCAGATTCTTATTCCTCCCTACTGCAATGAGCACCAGCAGGTTCTCCAGGATTCCTACTGTAGCAATGGTGAAGAAGATTTCCTCTGGCACAACAATTGTCATACAGTTGGAGACGTTGAGTGATTGTTCACTGTGGTTTTCAAATACGTGAATGCTTCTCTGCTCCAGAAGTCTTATTATTTCAGAATCTGTGTCGGCCTTCATCTCCTTCACCTTTTTGATTTGAGGATGGGGGAGAGGATAAGGGTGGGTAGAGAGAAATGCAGGATTGTTACTTTGACCTGATTATGAAACTGCAACTATATCAAGTTGAACATCTGATTATGATATCTATGGAGATTCTCAGTCATCCAGATCATAGTTGTCCCAAAGGTGCTTTTTCAAGAGTCAACTTGTTTTTCTTTGAAGTCCACATTTTGGACAGAGAGGACTGCTGGTTTGAAAGAGGGGTCAAAGGGGCTATCTATGTCAAAATCAAACAGCCTTCTCTCAACAGAGGGGAGGGATATGACATCATCTATCTCCAGCCTACAACACAGTCTTTTCAACAATTCCAAGAAGGCTCCACACCATTTGCACTACTCAGGTGACCCCGATGACACAGATAAACCTCCAGGTGGCCTCAACAACTCTCTAAAAGAATGCAAATGACCAGCTGTTTGCAAGGAGTATAAATCCTTCCATTCCCCTCCATCCAGTCACAGCTGAAGAAGCTTCTTGGATGAGAAATGAAATGTCTTCAAAGAAAAACAAGAAATTCCAGTTGCCTCTTGAAAAACCACCTTTATGACATCTGATTATGATGAAACTGCTTCAGCTAGATTGATCAGTCATAGTTCTTTTCATATATCATTCTTGAATAGAAAATTGCAAGACAAGCGTGCTTTATGGACTGTCTGCACCAGTTTCATCCCCAAAAGTGACATGAGATGCACATACATAATTGCAATAGCTTGCCCACTTGACCCACTTTCCTATATAAACAAAAGGGTTGAATATTTTATCTGGATTCCAAATTCCTTGGATTCTTTTATGAGCCTTCAGACAAATGCTCACATGAACTCCTTTCAGATCTTCCTGTGCTATCTATAGTAGTGGCCAAAATTGTGGAAATCTTTTGGGAAAAGTGTATTTTTGAGGTTTGATGGCTAATAACACCACTTTTTTTTTTGGAGTTTCAAGATAATCATATTCCACTATTGGAATGGCCTGGGAATAGCCCAGAACTTAACCCAATTGAAAATCTATGGAGCCAACTAAAGAAACTTGTTAGTCAGAAGCGACCCAGCAATAAAACTCAGTTAATAGAAGCAATCATTCAATCTTGGTTTCACATTATAACAGCTGCAGAACTAAAAGACTTGGTTCACTCCATGCTAAAGGTTACCCAACTAAGTATTAACTGACATGGTGATAATTTTTGTATATCTCGTGTTTCACTTTTCTTCTTTATATCTGTAACTGCTATTCTAATAGCAAATCCTTCATAAAAGTTATTGCATTACATTCTTGATTAAATTATTTTTCCATTGATATATAGTTTTATGGTACTACTACTAAAAAAAGTGGTGTTATTAGCTAGTTTTAGAAAATACACTTTTCCCAAAAGGTTTCCACAATTTTGGCCACTACTGTAGAAAGATCAGAGTAGAAAGTAGACTTTCTAGTTATAGTTGTCCCACTTTACTCAGATTCAATCAGAGTCATTCAGCTAAGTATATTTATGATGAAATGGCAAGGGAATAGTGCCTAAGTTAGAGTCTAACATAATTTTTCTGTGCAAAACCGTCATGTGTATTATTATTTATTTAATTTATTATTATTTATTTAATTGCCGTCGGCCAAACAATGTCGGCTGGCGGTCCCCACGGGGAGAGCCTTCTCTGTGGGGGCACCTAATATCTGGAACGAGCTCCCCGCGGAGATACGGAGGATCCCGGATCTACACACCTTCCGCCGCGCTCTCGAGACCTTTTTATTTCACCAGGCTGGTCTGGCCTAACCTCTCCCATTCTCTTTTTAATGTAAATTTTAATGTAAATTTTAATTTGTTCTTAACCTGGGGTTTAAAATTTATCTTGGTCTAAATTGATTTAATTCAATTTTACTTCCGCTCTTAAATTTTTGTATTTTATGTGTTTTATCTTGTGCCTGTTCACCGCCCTGAGTCCTTCGGGAGTAGGGCGGTATATAAATCAAATCAAATGAAAATGAAAATGAAATAAAAGACACAGGCAGTTGTCCATATTGTAACACCATAGCTAAGTGGTGCACAAAACAATAAAAACAACAGAAGCCTCCAAATCATAAAGGAAAACATTTATGCTATTAGAATCCTAGATGGGAGGGGAAGGAGGAATTGCAATGAAGAATAATAAAAATATATTTTCTTGTTCCTTCTCTCTCCGGAGGTCTATAGTAATAAAGCCCAACAAGCTATGGCAAGCCCCACACCACAACAATATCACTGCACAAATCCCACCCCCCACTTTACTTCTTTGCATGGTAATACTCCCACTCTGCGGAGCTTGGGTTTTGTTGGGTTTTTTTGCACCTGCTCAGATATGGGGAAAGCGCATCATATTAATTGCTTGTTGACAAAAAACAGGCCTGACACTCTCTTCCCTGCCTTCCTATCACATGGCTTTTCCCATGAACAGGTCAAGGACCTCTTAATAATGGTGCCAGTTGGACAACAAGCTACTTTGGAAGCCAGCTTGACTTAGGTATAATAAAGCTGTTTTCAGTAAACAAACAGTAAACAATAAAACTTAATCCTAGTAGAAGAACATGATCTAATGGCCCACCCATTCTGATCCATCCGAGATGTGGTTGCTTAATAACATCACAGCCTCCAGGTAACTGAGGAATTTGCCAGAGATGGAACAGTAGAGTAGAAGGGAGCAAAGAAAAGTGGAACATTTTCCCCATCTGGCATTTCTAAACAATGTATGGGAATGAATTGTGACAGGAAAATATTTTTTCTCCTGTGGGTTGGGAAAAGGAGAGAAGCAGGGATTAGAATCCTGACTATCTTCTGCCTTTTCTGATCTGCCCGGGTTTTGCTTCTCCATTCATATTTGTCAACTTCAAAATAGAAAAGTCTCCAAAAAGAATGCCATTGTAAGAATTAAGGGAGGAATCTGGGAAGCATGGGGCTATAAGATCAAGAAACCATAACACTACAAAAAGGGGAAACTCTTTCAGAAATATTTTTGGTTGATCTTGAAAGACAATATTTATCTGTCTGAAAAAGAAAATGGAAAAGGCCTTTTCTTTGAGGCCAGGTCAGTTGGTGACTCAGAAAACCTTTTTGATGAAAAACCAGCAGACTTCAGGCCAAACAATTCAACAACTACTTGTTGGAATAAAGCTGGATGAAGCTGCAGTTCAGCTGGATTTAAAGAGGGCTACTCTATCAGGCAAGAGGTTAATTACTTTTCTCCCTCCCCCCCTTGCATAGGGATTCTTTTCCATAAATGCAATAGATATTTTTGTGCTCAATTCATATTAATGAGAAAAGAAAACATGAATTACAGAAAACAAATAGGTATTAAAAAGCAGAGGATGGTAATTGTATGGCTGACAACTAGAAATATACACATTTCTTTATCATTCTAAATATTTTCATATCTCTAAGGAATGATTCCACTGGAAGCATTTAAAATAATGCCATACTATGTAAGAATCCTCAGAAAGGGATTGTCATTACAATAAAGGACAATTTGCAACTTAACTTATTAGTGTCCCTCATGAACAATGAGTTCATTATACCATGAACTATAGCAATATAGCATTGAAGCAGTTCATTTATGCCTCAAAATGGAGGCAGATAGAAATGAATATGGCATTCACACATCTTCTTTAGCAACTGTTTATATGAAGCCTATAGATGTTGCCCTTTTGAGTTCTCTGTAGTCTCCCTTGTGTGAATAATACACGTAAAGCAACCTGGGCTTCCTCTGATGTGTGAGTACAGGAAGTGGGAGATGTGAGAGTTGTAAAGTTAAGAACATCTTGGAAGTGCCAAGTTAGTGAGAGGTGGAGAACGCAATATATAAAGATGGTTTTGAGCCTGAGCCTTAATCAAGATGAAACAAGATGGACATAATATACACTTTTAAGTCAATAAATACAGGGGTGATATCCAGCAGGTTCTGACAGGTTCTGGCATATGGCTCTGTTTGCTCCTTTGCCTGCAACACATTTGTCCAGTAACCTAGCATCTAGTTTCTCCAATGATTTTCCAGAGAAAGTTGGACCTGCTTAATATTTCTTCAGCAAGTACTAGGAAATAGGAAGCCAGAAAGGTAGATTGGGGTGTCAGAACAGCTTTCTGGAAGAAGAAAGCAATAGCATAATATTTCCATTTGGCTACCAGGAGAACTTAATGGACCTGTGTATAGAGTCCCTAGGAATTCAGCTGTCCTTAAGGGAATCCTTGTCCTTATCTTGTAAACTATCCACGTATTTGCTTGCCATTTTTTTTTTTTACTGACAGGATTTTATGCATGTATTCATGAACCATGTTTATACCTCATAATTCTTATGGCTGGCTTGATTTTATGTATGCAGTATAAGTCAAATTTTCTGAAATTTAGTGTCCTGTCCAAATGATCAACATGCTCTTTCTCCAATAAGATGATTTAAGATTAAAGTAAAATCTTATGAAATGAAGACTGCTTAGAAAGAATGGTAGCCATGACAACTAGCATATGCCTCTGTTTGCTCCTTTGCCTTCAACACATTTGTCCAGTCACCTAGCATCTAGTTTCTCCAATGATTTTCCAGTCCTCCCATCAGAGAAGCTCTCAAACACTTGATTCTCACTCTGCTATAAATCTTATATTGGTAACTCACCTCCATTTTTCAGAAAGGAAGAGTACACTTTGAGTGGTGAGAAGTGCTAATTTTTTAGTGCTAATTTTTAAAACAATTAATCAAATATACTCAATCCTTATGATAAACTTATTAACTTGTAAATAGATTCCAGGAATTTTCAGTTAAATTTGTCCAACTAGGTTTTAGTGAAGTTGGAACAAACTTATTAAGTGGAAGAAAGGGAAGAGAATCAAAAGTATTCCCTTCTTCCTTCTTCCTGAAGGTAACACACCTTTAGGAGACAATCCAAGAGTTTTTAAATCCAGAGAATCCTCTCTCTGAACACTGGGCTAAAAGTACTTTTTATTCTTTGGAGCTCTATGTTTACAACTTCCTTAACAATTTGCTTCTTTTAGTTTATCTGGCCTACATGGCCAGAATTCCTAATGTTACTATCCTGTTTCCCCCAAAATAAGACCTATCCCGAAAATAAGCCTAGCATGTTTTTTTAATGTGTGTGCCTAATATAAGGCTTACCCCCAAAATAAGCCCTACTTAAGAGCCCACAAAGCCCCCTGCCTGCCCATTCCATTTGATTGCTCATGGTGCTGTGGCCATGAGGCGAGGAAGGATGGTGGTGGAACTGCTCCATCTGCCCCGCACCAGATTAGCTCAGGGCTCCTGCAGCCAGGCCATCCATGCTCCAACACCAGCACCAGCAACCCACATGGCCTCCAGCTCACTTCTTCTGCTTGCTCGTGGCTGCAATGGAGCAGGAAGCCGAGCAGTATGCTGGAGCCATGGCCATGAGTCATGGTAGATGTTGGGACATCGATGGCATGGCTGCAGGATCCCTGAGGTAAACTGGTGCAAGGTGCGTGGGACAGTACCACCTCCCCTGCCTAGCTGCAGCGCTGGCACGCCGTGCTGCCTCATGACCTGCCATGAGCAGGCAGAAGTGGGCCTCCTGTACATGGGGAAAAAAAATAAGACACCCCCGAAAAATAAGCCCCAGTGCTTATTTTGGGGCGCAAAAGAAAATAAGACTCGGTCTTATTTTCTGGGAAACACAGTAGTGATATCATATAACTTACATATTATGACTACATTATACATTCCCACATAGGTATGACTAATGTATTAAAAAAATATTCGCTTCCTGAGGAGATCCATTCTAGCGATTTACAGAGTCACCTTGCCATTGATGTGGTGATATACGTTTATGTGGATAGACTTGATGTGAACAGAGGATGAGGTTATAAATTAATTAGTTTAGTGTGCATAATGCACTCCCTATACTTTTCCCCCAGGCAATACAGAACAGCAGTAGACTCACCTAGAATTGCAAGGATGAAATTTGTGTATGCAGCCTTTTTTCCCTCTAGCAACTAAGAATTGCAAAAAGCTCCATTTCCCATATGTCTGTGTCCTTCCAAGGACACTGAATGAATATCATTTTTATTTGTTTTCAGAGCATCACTGGAAATTCTTGCCCTACATGACATTGGAATAATCATCAGCATTGCAGTTTTGTTCCTTTATCCATTTCTTCTAAACATTTGCAAATTACATTATTTTTTCCATTAGATTTCTGTAAAATTTTCATAGTTGCAGATATTGTTATTGAAGAAACAGATTCAAGATTATAATTAAATTACAAGTTGGATTGTGTAAGCTTATTTTGATTGCTCTTTTAAAGTTGCTCAATGAAGGTCTTAATTTTTTGAAGATGTTAGTTCAACTTCCTTTGACCAGGATCCTAGGTTTGATTGCAGAAAAAATATGTGTCTATAAAATTTTAATTTTATTTTTCCTCAGTGATGGCAAATTTAAACTTTTAGTGCATCAGATGTGAGTCATACATCATATAGCTTTAGTCTATAACTAGTGGTCAAATATAAAATTTGTTACTACCGGTTCTGTGGGCGTGGCTTGGTGGTGGTGGTGGGGTAATGTGATTGGGTGTGTGTGTGTTAGGATATGGTTAACAAGTTTTCCAGGCAATATATGTGTTCTATAACTTTAAATGTATTCTGTAACTCTAAGATGTAATGCTGAGTAATTTTACTGCTGAGTCATTGTAATGACTAATGACTGCTAACTAACTGCTGACTGCAATTATCATAAATGTACTGTTGAGTCATTGCACTGCTGACTTCACTTATCTTAAGTGGATAATTACTAGTGTAAACTGTATATAAGAAGGAAGCCGAGCTATAGTCATTGTTGGACCTGCTCTCATCATTGCTTGACTTATTGCTTGACTTGTTGATTGGAACTGTTACTGTCATGTGTGAAGACGTGGATGGATATGCTACCATCGTGATTTGTTACCAGCATTGAATTGCTGTTTATTACCGACTGCTGTTTGTCTGGTAAGAAGATATCTGTAACTTCAGACTGATTTGAATGGCTAAAGACTATGCAATTGTTTTTCACTACAAAGTAAATGCTTTGTTAAACCAGTTTGTATGTATTATATTCATTGCTCTCAGTACCGTTTCTCTGTGCACTTACTTTGCTGGTTGGTAACACAACAATATCCTTAACATTGGTTATGGGCCCAGAGCCAACCAGAACTAACTAGGATTGTTCAGAGTAAAACTGAGAGTTAATGTGAATACTACAGAAAACTGTGTTTGTGAAATATAATCCAAGTGAAGATGGCACAAGAACAGTTATCGAATATCTCCATGATAAACCGGCTGGATGGAACAAACTATGTATCCTGGTCTACAAAATGTAATCTACTTCTGTGTAGAGAAGGCTGGCGTAACCGGTAGGTTATTGGAAGAATCCAGAAGAAGACAAGAAAGGGATCAGTTGAGAGTAAACCAACCAAAAGAAGACAAAATGTATTCAACTGCCTATGTTGTAAAACGATGTTTTGCTTATGGGGCTAAAGGGCATATAGCTAAATATTGTAAGAATAAGAAAATGTCTGTTAGGGATAATAATAGACCCAAGAAGGGTTGTAATTTAGCTATATCCAGTTCAACAACTAATGTTAATCAGGATTGGTGAGTTGTTGATAGTGGTGCTTCTCAATCTATTACTAAGAATAGAAACAACTTTGTGAAAATGAATAAGAGTAATCAACATGCTAGATTAGCAAACGGTTGGAAAGTTAAGGTACTGGGGAGGGTGTTGCACGTTGGTCATTTAGTAATGAACCATTGCCTATGTTATATATTCCTGGATTAAAGTATAATTTGCTATCTGTTAAATCATTATTGCAAGTTGGGTTTAAGGTAACGTTTAAAAATGATAAATGTATAATTGAAAAAGATGGAAAGGTTGTTACTGCAATATTAGAAAATGATTTATTTATTTTAAGAGAGAACCCAGCATTAGTGGCAAATCCTAAATCGATGTACAGGAATGATAAACCACATGATGGTATAGAAATCTAATAAAATGAAAATGAAATGAAAATGAAATGAATGTATTCATCTGTTACATCAGAGACTAGGGCATATAAATTTCAGATCGTTAAAGAAAACAGTTCAGCTACCTGAAAATATAAAACTACAATCATGTAGTAAGTATTTGAATTGTAATGCCTGTAATCAGCAAAAGAGTAAGGTAACACCAGCAAATCGTAATAATGATTTTAAAACTAAAAAGCCATTAGAAGTAGTGTTTGTAGATTTGATTGGACCCAAGAAACCCAGTATTGGAGGTGCCTGCTATATTCTAAGCATAGTAGACCATTATTCGAGGTACGGATTCTGTTATCTTATGAAAACGAAATGTGAAACATTCCAGCATATAAATAACTGGCTGAGATTTGTTGAAAGGAAACAGAAGTATAAAGTAATGTGCTTAGTAACAGATAACGGTACAGAATTCACTAACCAAAGGTTAGAGAAGTTTTTGCAAGAGGCAGGTATACAGCATAAACGGTCTGCTCTGTATAGACCACAACTCAACGCTTATGTAGAGAAAAGGGGTCAAACATTACACGCCATGACTAGAACAATGTTGGCAGATTCTGGTTTGCCTGAAACATTATGGGGTGAGGCTGTTATGTGTGCTAACCATGTATTAAACAACGTGGTACATTCATCTACTGGTGAAATACCATTCACATTATGGCATGGGAGGAAACCAAATATTAGTTACCTACACACATTTGGAGCCCCAGCTTGGGTGCATATTCCATCAAATGTGAGAAGGAAGGAACAACAAAGTGTCAGAAAAATGTTTTTCATTGGCTCAAACCATAGGCCTTTTAGATTTTGGGCACAGGGAGCTACCAGTGTTTACTGTAGTGCTAATGCAAAATTTCTAGAGCACGAAGGATGGGAGAAACTTGAGCGTGCAGATTATAGACAGATGATAATACTGTTAGCATCAGATGAGTAACAATACCCCTGATGAGGATATAGGTAATGTAGATTCTTCTATTAAGGTTGAAGAAGAGGAGGTAGTTTTAGGGGAGGATAAAATTGAATCATCTGCAATGAGTCCTGTATTGCCTAGGAGATCCAGTAGGGAAAGACATCCACCTGATAGATATAAAGCAACTTTAGTTTGTCAGGTTAACATAGAACCTTCAAGTTATGAGGATATCAGGATGTATCCTGAAAAAGAACAGAATGCATGGAAGGAGGCAATGAGTAGAGAAATCAACTCATTAACTAAATTGGGTGTTTATGAGGATGTTAAATTGCCACCTGGAGAAAAATTGATTGGTTGTTGATGGGTTTATAAAGTAAAGAAAAGTATAGATGGGACAGTAATCCATAAAGCTCGCCTTGTAGTTCAAGGTTTCGCTCAAATGGAGAAAGATTTCGATGAGGTGTTTGCTCCAAGTTTAAGAGCTAGCACGTTAAGAACTATGCTAGTGTGGGCGGCAAAGAATAAGTATATTATTAATCATATAGATGTGGAGACAGCATACTTGCATGATCCATTAAGACATACTATTTATATGAGGAAGCCGTTAGGAGTTAAAACAAATGATCAAACTGATTGTTGGAAATTAAATAAAAGCCTATATGGTTTAAAACAATCAGGGTTTGAATGGAACCAGTGTATAGTTAAAGAGCTGAATAATATTGGTTTTAAGGAAGGTGTAGCAGACAAATGTCTCTTTAAAAGAGAGAATAATGGAATAGTATCATTTTTGCTATTGTTCACGGACGATATAGCAATTGTAACTAAAACTGACAAGGAAGCAATGGATATTGTTGGACAGTTACAAGAGAAATTCAAAATTAGAAATTTAGGACATATTAGACATTATTTAGGCCTTGATATTGTTCAAACAGCTAGAGGGTATAAACTGTCACAGGCTAGCAAAATAAGCCAGATGTTGAAACGTTACAGCATGGAGCTATGTAAGCCAGCTAAAACACCAATGGCACAGGATTTTCAACATGAAGAAATCCAAAGTTCTGGATTTAGTAAGGAGATCTATCAATCGCTGATAGGGAGTCTCTCGTATCTTAGCAATTGGTTGAGACCTGATATTTCGTATAGCGTAAACCAATTAGCAAGGTATAATGCAGAGCAAACAGATAGGCATTGGCAGGCCGCCAATAGTGGATATTGAGATATTTAAAGATGACAATGCATTATGCATTATATTTAGAACCTAAACATGATCTTACATTGAGCGCATATGCTGATGCTAGTTTCGCTACTGATTTGACCACCAGAAAGTCTACATCAGGTATTGCGATAATGTTAGGTAATTGTTTAATAGGATGGAAGTCAATAAGGCAGAAACATGTTAGTTTATCCACTATGGAAGCAGAATTTTCATGTTTGTCACTAGTATGTACTGATTTGATTTACTATAAACAGTTAATGATAGATGTAGGATTAAAAGTAGATTATCCTATTGTAATTTATGAGGATAACCAAGCTGCTATAAAAATGGCAACAAATTTAGCAGTTAAGACAAGATCAAAATATACTGATATTTGTTATTTGAATGTTCGTCAGAGTATTCAAAGTGATATGGTTAAATTGGAATATTGTATTCTGAAAACAATATTGCTGATAATTTCACCAAAGCGCAGGGTGCAATTAAACATAAAATGTGTTGCGAAAGCTATGGCTTGAGAATTTGAACAGGGATATATTAGCCTGTCCAAAGGGGAGAATGTTAGGATATGGTGTAAATCTAACAAGTTGTCCAGGCAATATATGTGTTCTATAACTTTAAATGTATTCTGTAACTCTAAGATGTAATGCTGAGTAATTGTACTGCTGAGTCATTGTAATGACTAATGACTACTGACTAACTGCTGACTGCAATTATCATAATTGTACTGTTGAGTCATTGCACTGCTGACTTCACTTATCTTAAGTGGATAATTACTAGTGTAAACTGTATATAAGAAGGAAGCCGAGTTATAGTCATTGTTGGACCTGCTCTCATCATTGCTTGACTTGTTGATTGGAACTGTTACTGTCGTGTGTGAAGACGTGGATGGATATGCTACCATCGTGATTTGTTACCAGCGTTGAATTGCTGTTTATTACCGACTGCTGTTTGTCTGGTAAGAAGATATCTGTAACTTCAGACTGATTTGAATGGCTAAAGACTTGGATTGACTAAAAGACTATGCAATTGTTTTTCACTACAAAGTAAAAGCTTTGTTAAACCAGTTTGTATGTATTATATTCATTGTTCTCAGTACCGTTTCTCTGTGCACTTACTCTGCTGGTTGGTAACACAACAATATCCTTTACAGTGTGGTCAACTTTTTTTTTTTACTTTTAAAAGCATTTTTTCTACTCTGGCTGAAGAGGTTGTAGAAAAAATGCTTTCAAAAGGCTCTGATGATACCAGCTGAGCCGCGCGATATCAGAGACCTTTTAAAAAAACTTTTAAAAGCATTTTTTCGGCTGAAGAAAAATGCTTTTAAAAATTAAAAAAAAGCCTCTGATGATCGCGTGGCTCAGCTGGGCATGGGGGGGGCCCAGGGATTTTTGCTACCAGTTCTCCAAGTTCACCCGCCACCATTGCTACTGGATAGGCTGATCTGATCCAAACCGGGAGCATTTCACCCGTCTATAACCTAAATATGAAGAATGTATGTATGTAACAAGGCTGTACTTGTATTTTAGTCTTACAAAAATAATCACCCCTTCATTGACGTGAGCATGAAAACAAATAACATCTGAAATATATATATGATTCTTCTAGTATTTTTATGGTCACTTTGGTATTATTTCATGAGTACTAGGACTGAGGAGTTGCTTTTTGTTCAAAAGGTGAAGTGAGGTAAATATGTGCAAAGTGCATTTATATCCCTATTGAAAACTTTTATTGAAATGGAAAACTAATAAGAGAAAGTGTTGGTAATTTACCTTCACATAATTAAGCTTTCTGAGCTTTTATTTAATTTAAAAATGACTTGTACTGCCTTGGTAGTAATAGTTTTTCAATCTAAAGACTGAATCATAATCATTTATCCACCTTATTTCAGAGGGACTATTAACTAAAATAGGGACAAGATGAGCTTTTGCTATACACATTACATATGCTATCAGTCTGTTGTATGCTGAATTCTGTATAGGGCTTTATGGATTAAAATGCATTATGTTCAGTAATGAGTCCTGTTCCTGGATTAGGAACATGCTGTTAAAATGGACAGTAACAAAGAGCTGAAAATATTGAGAGAGCTCTAGCAAACAGTTTGAATTCTATGCAAGATCTTGGATAAAGAACAGCTTCAGAGGTGGGTTTCAGCAGGTTCTGACCAATTCAGAAGCGGAAATTTTGAGTATTTCGGAGAACCAGTAAATACCATCTCTGACTGGTCCCGCCCCCATCTATTCTCTGCCTCCTGAGTCTCAGCTAATCGGGAGGAAATGGGGATTTTGCAGTAACCTTCCCCTGGAGTGGGGACGGGATGGAGATTTTACAGTATCCTTCCCCTGCCACGCCTACCAAGCCATGCCCACCAAGCCATGCCACGGCCACTAAACCACGCCCACAGAACTGGTAGTAAAAATTTTTGAATCCCACCACTGAACAGCTTGTAAGTCCAGGATGACTTACACTTTAGTTTGTTACTCCAAAGAAACAGAAAAGACATAATTCTTTAAGTATAGAGCTTAAAGAATATATTCAGGGCTTGTGAGTACATAAGATACTATGATATTCCAGGGTTTCAGGGGCACAGCCTGAGTTTCCATAGTTGTTTGGCATTTGAAGGTCCTGCAATATATGCTTATCAACCCACCAGACTCCGTTTTACTGGACTGTTAAAGTCCTCTGTTGCAGGGCTATACAGTATTGTTTTCTCAGTACTGAATTTGAAGGGCATTGCCCCATTGCTGAGTTGAATTATTATCTGCTTATCCTTGATCTGGGAGAAAAAAAAATCACCAAGACTGTTACTATTTTCTGTTGCTGATTTCTATCTTGCCTTTGCTGCCAGTCATCTGACTACTCTCCAACCCAGCAGAAATAATAATTTACAAAGGCTGACCTTAGAGCAGGGCTGTCAAATTCCCGGCCTGGCACGTGCTGGCCATGCCCACGTCTAGTTTAGCAAAGGGGAAAAAAGTCCCGATACGTCATGTGACATGCCACGACAATGTGAGTTTGACACCCCTGTCTTAAACGTTCTTGAAATGAAAGGGAAAATTCTAGTACTAGTAACTGGGGATATCAGTAGGAAAAAGATACTAGCAGAGCATTTTTGTACTGCGGTTAGAGGTTGGGGGTGGGAGGCACCGTGTTGCGGTGGTTCTCTTCCTTTCTCTCCGACTTGTCGCAGTCTGTGTTGGCAGGGGGGCAGAGGTCGACCCCGAGGCGCCTCATGTGTGGGGTGCCACAAGGGTCGGTCCTCTCGCCCCTTCTGTTCAACATTTATGTAAAGCCGCTGGGTGAGATCATCCGTGGTTTTGGGGTAAAGTACCATCAGTACGCTGACGATACTCAGCTGTACATCTCCACCCTGGACTACCTCAACGGTGCCCTTGAAGTGATGTCCCGGTGCCTGGAGGCCGTGCGGATCTGGATGGGAAGGAACAGGCTCAGGCTCAACCCATCCAAGACTGAGTGGCTGTGGTTTCCGACATCCTGATATAGTCAGTTGACGCCATTACTGACTATTGGGGGCGAATCGCTGGCCCCCACGGAGAGGGCTTGCAACTTGGGCGTCCTCCTGGATTCACGGCTGTCTTTAGAAGAGCACTTGACGGCCGTGACCGGGAGAATTTTTCATCAGGTTCGCCTGATTCGCCAGTTGCGTCCCTTTCTGGATCGGGACTCCTTAAACACGGTCACTCATGCCCTCGTCACTTCCCGCCTGGACTACTGCAATGCTCTCTACATGGGGGTCCCCTTGAGGAGCACCTGGAAGCTCCAACTGGTCCAGAATGCGGCCGCGCGGGTGATTATGGGAGCGTCATGGCGCTCCCATGTAACACCTCTCCTGCGCGAGCTGCACTGGCTCCCGCTGGTCTTCTGGGTGCACTTCAAGGTTTTGGTTACCACCTTTAGAGCGCTCCATGGCTTAGGGCCTGGTTATTTACGGGACCACCTGCTGCTGCAAACGGCCTCCCACCGGTCAGTACGCTCTCACAGAGAGGGACTCCTCCGGGTGCCATCGGCCAAACAATGTCGGCTGGCGGCCCCCAGGGGGAGAGCCTTCTCTGTGGGGCACCTACTATCTGGAACGAGCTCCCCCCTGGAGATACGGAGGATCTCGGATCTACGCACCTTCCGCCACGCTCTTAAGACCTTTTTATTTCACCAGGCTGGTCTGGCCTAACCTTTCCCATTCTTTTTTAATGTAAATTTTAATGTAAATTTTAATTTGTTCTTAACCTGGGGTTTTAAAGTTGTCTTGGGCTAAATTGATTTAATTCGATTTTACTTCTGCTCTTAATTTTTGTATTTTATGTGTTTTATTCTGTGCCTGTTCACTGCCCTGAGTCCTTCGGGAGTAGGGCGGTATACAAATTAAATAAAATGAAATGAAAATGAAATGTAAATGGTGGTGCAATTTGCCAGGTCTCCGAACTGCTCAAAATTTCCACTACCGGTTGTCCGGTCTGAACCGGCTAAATATCACCTCTAATTCATTGCTCCAAAATCCCTTGATCCTGAATCTGGAACACAGGTTCTAACTCTAGTTATTAATAAACAGATTGCTACTCTGCTGTCATTTAAACTTAGAAATATTTAAATTCTTAGCTGTAGTTCTGGCTTTATCTTGTTTAATCTTATTTCTAATATGCTTGCTTTTTCAAAAAATATTTCATTTTACTGTTTTACTATTCTTCTGTTATTTTATGATATGTAATAGGTGATAAGCAGTAGTTACAACAACAAACTTACTGATTTACCTAACTTTAATGGGTATAGAATTTTAGAAATAGGACAGCTATTTTGATCACTCTTTATTATGACTTTATTATGTTTTTCATCTTCATTGCAAAGACAGCCACATCCTTCCCCTGTGGTCATCTTTTACCTGAGAGCAGCACTAAGTAAACTACAGGCATTTGTGTTCACATAGCCACAAAACTTTTCAATTAAACAAATTCACCAAACACTTTCATATTCTTAACTGGAACCATGTGTTCTCACTACTCACAGAATTTGTTTGAAGAATCATCTGCAACTCAATGATGATTGTTCTCTGTTGGGCATTCTACAGTCCTCTTGGAATATACCTTATTAATGGCATAACAAACATTATTCTTGTTGCTGATTAACTTCAAACTAACCAGTTACAGCAATTCCTTAATTTAGTTCACTTCTGACACCTGCTAAGAAAGAAATAGAAAAAGAACATATTTATGATCATTGATTATATATTCCATGTCATATACAATTTACATACATCTCAAGAATATTGCTTCCTTTTTCAAAATTATTCTACAATTATAAAAAATGTACTGATGAATATAAATTCTTTTTATATCTTGATATAAAAAGATAAAAGATATAAATAAGAGTAAAAATAGAAAAGTAATTTCTTAAAACTACCACCTCCTGTGATGTAAGCATAATACCATATACCTTTCTAATTATGACATATTCATGCAAACACTATACAAATGCATATTTCCTAAAAATGTGTTATTATTTGTTTATCTGACTCCAGGAACAGGGGGACTACAATAGTTATTGATCATTAAATCCTTCATAACTCCTTTTAATAATATAATTTGATAGCAGAAGAGCATATTAACATTTCCCACTAAGGATGTTGAATCAGATGAACCAAATTTAAATATTTACTCAATACATTGAGTAAATAAACAATATAGTTTATATACATTGAATTAAAAATAGAATAGATTACATTCAATCTATATCAGATGTTTTTCTGAATATAATTATTTCACATTTCATGAAAGTAGATCTATAAGGAAGAAAAGTTGGTGACTTAAGAGTTTTTCACTGACTGTAGCAGAATTAATTCTGTGAGCTCAAACTTTCCTGAAGTTTAACAAGTGCAGTTCAGCACCCAAATTTTGCTGAAATTGACAAAACGTATGGGTTAGAAGTCACTAGAAAAAATGAAAGCTATGATCACTGAATAGATTTCCTGTTGTTAGGAATTTTTTTGTGTGGTATCCTGGATCCTTAACCAGATCTATCAAATCCCTATGTAAAAAAGAATCACTTGCACTTATAGGGTTTCACAAAATAGGCCCATAATAAACTTTGTTGATGTTTTGAATTGTCAGTTATTTCTAGCTCTAATCTCTTCATCAAAGAATGTTTCTGTCTGATATTTATCTGTAGAACCTATGAACTTAAGATCTGCTTTGACATTTTCATTTAACTATGGTGCAAGAGAGAAGAAAAACAGCTTCAGTGTGGTTGGTACAAAGAGTCCCTTGAGCTCACCAAAGAGATAAATCAGAAATCCTTCAGTTGCCAGTTTTATTTGCAGAATATTTGCTCTATTCCGTTATAAATAGTCTTTAACTAATGAAGTACAGAAGCTGACAGAAATCAGCTCTATTTCAAGCCTTAACTGCAAAGAATATTGCCAGGGAATTGTCTGCAAGGGTTAAAAATTATTTCTTGACTTCTTAGAGAATTAAGCAGCTGCTGGTCATATCTGTAATAATGTAACACAGGAAACAGCAATAATGGAAATATTAAAACCATTTTAAACTTCTTTCTATAGAGAATGTCAGAGAGATAAGAATTTAGCATTATCCTACCATCATGAAATGTTTCCTGAAGTTACTTTTATATTCTATGACAAAAATAGTTTATGTTTGAACTGAGGTCTCCTACATTTCTTTATAATGTATGTTTTATTCAAATTTGGCATTACTAGATATCTGAGTACAAATATAGTGAATATAAGAATACAAATATTACATTCACGTGCACAGAATTATTTAAGGTGCATTATAGAAAGGATAATTAACATAAATACAGAATTTAATATTTTGGAAATGGATTCACACAAATAGTAATGTATATATTCCTTCCTTTAAATCAGGGTCTCCAACCTTTAAGACTTGTGGAAGAACCCATTCCCCAGTGGGATTTTACACATAAAATTACTATTTACAAGGATGGCCAGATGTAAATCTTCGCCTATGGTCTGACCTAAGCTTAGTACACAAAATTGTCTGCTACAACGTCTTACCTGTCAATGACTACTTCAACTTCAACCACAATAATACATGGGCAAACAATAGAGACTAACTCATAGTAAACGGCTCCAAACTCGATTGTAGAAAATACAACTTCAGCAACAGCAACTTCCAACCAATGCCTGGAATGCACTACCTGACTCTGTTGTTACATCCTCAAACCCCCACAACTTTAACTTTAAACTGACTACCATGGATCTCACCCCATTCCTAAGAGGTCTATAAGGGTGCATGCATAAGCGCACCAGTGTGCCTACCCTCCCTGTCCTACTATCCCCATTTATTCGTACTCATTTCTTATGTTTATACTTATACCTGTTTCTACTTACATGTTTATATGTTATGTGTATATTTGTATATTTGACAAATAAATAAATAAAATAAATAAAAATAGGCTTTAGTCTATATAGGTCTCATTTCTACCTGTGTAATGTTGCAATAGAGCAACACAGATATCTTAGAGTGAATGAATAAGTGAAGAAGTAATCCAACATATTGTACATACAAATGTCCAGCTGCAAACTTAGTACACAATGCATGAGATGTGAAAAGCATTTGATTCATTGACTGGCTCTAGAAACAGAGTCACAAAAGAAAGGACTGATATACACCTTCAGGAGAAAATGTTACCTGGAGTTTCCCTAGCCATACAGTATGTCAAGTAATTTCTTACAAGGCTGGAAAAATTATTAAATCCCAAAGGAAGATTTCATTGTTGTGAGTGATTTAAACATCTTGCTGTGTCAAACCAGAAGTGAAAGTACTATGTTTGCTACTGAATAGACTTTCCCATTTCTAGCCATTATTATTTAATGTCACACAATAATTACTACTGATTTCCAATCTCTTCCTTCAGTCTTTCAAACTAATGCAATCAGACAATTTCTAAGATAGGAAGGTTTGAAATTGAGATGAGGAACTCTCTTTCGTTTCCCAGTTGAAGATTTTTGCTTCAAAGACTTTTTTGCAGGGATGTAGAAATTACATGTAACCACTCTTGGAATCTTAAAGTGGGTTAGACAAAAGTTGAGTTCTTTTATTTTGCGTGTTTGGAGATTTTAGTGGAAAACAGATTCATTAAGCAACTGTTTCTCACATCTCTAAAGTAAAAAACATCTTTTCCTTTGAAAGTCTATTTGACTTTCAAGAAAAAGTTAAAAGAAATAGATACACCTGCATTCCTAGGTCAGCTGGAGAGCTACCACAGCTCTCTTGCACCCAAACAAAAATAATACATTAATTCTATGGAAAGGAATTGCTATACCAATTAGAGCCAGACCCTGCAAAAGGTCATACAAGCAGCCTTTTGCTCCAATTTCACATTCAGAAAGATAATTGACCAGCTAGAAATATTGAAAAAAAAGGGAACAAATGATAGCTGTAACTATAGGCATATAAAGAAAATAGAAATGAAGGTACCTAACAAACAAAAGAGTTCAGAGAAAGAAATTCGAAACACATTTCTAGTTATATACATATATATACATACCTACATGCCATGCCAGGCCACAGATGTTCTATATTAAGCCTTCTTTGGAAAGAAGTCTTTCCCCCAACTTTTCCTTTTGTGGCTTATTTCTTCTTTGTTTCCCATACAAAAGAAATAACAGTTAGTATGATGGCAAAGCCTGGGAGAGAGTCTGCTTTTAAAGCAATGAATAAAGCCATTGCTGAAGAAGCAGACAAAAATATACCAGAGAGGAGGGGGAAAAAAACACACCCAGCACTGATGTTATTGCAACCTTGAGGGACATCACTTTGAAATGAATCTGTTTTGTGTCAGAGGGAATAATAAAAAAGCTATGGAAATTTTTCTCTCTCTCAACATTGTGATAAATAATAGGAGAAAATCCATTCAATTTTTGTATATATCTGGAATTAGAAAAATAGAAAAGGTGAGAACCTAACATTATACGACAGTCTTCAAAATAGACAAAAGTGAAATAAAAAAAAAATAACAACTTAGCAGCAATTTCTTGTAAAGAAGCAATTTCAGCATTTGGATTAAAGTATTTTGTTTCTAAATCTTTTATAGTTTTTATAAAGGTATGGACAAACTGGGATTGTTGGGCTGCCCCTCTGCCCCACAGTAGCATCCCCTCCCAAGTTGCTGGATCATGCCACATGATTTGCAATTACCATATTCAGCGGCATTAATTTCCCTTCTCCAGGGTTTGTCCAAGAATCATCAGGGGCCCAACTTGTGTTGGAAGACATATATTATATTTAGATTTTGTCTTGGAGCCTTTGTCGTTTGTTACACTTTGGAATACTATGGAATTGATTGGTAGTATTAATTTCCATAGGAAGATGAACTTAATTATTCTGCTCCTATCTACTAAGTAGATAGGAGCAGGAGCAGGACTTAGTAGATCCTTTTGGTTTCCATATGGCATGTAGGGATTTTCCTGAGGCCGATCTTTCTAAGGTTGTAGTCATGTCTTATAACAGGGGTGTCAAACTCAATTTCATTGAGGGCCGCATCAGGGTTGTGTTTGATGTCAGGGGGCTGGGGTGGGCATGGCCAGGGTGGGCGTTATTATAAACTCGGTGAAGGTCATCATGAATGAGGAGACGGCTTGTAACACAATCCGTTTATTGACAACAAAGGCAACTGCTGAACTGAATCAATATTAGAAAGAGTTGACAGCTCTTATATACTGAGCTGTCAAAAACAACAACCAATAGCGAAGCCTTAATTTTCCCGCCTGAAGGGAATTGAAATCAACCAATCAGATCGCATCGCGTCAGCATGCTCTATGTTCCTTCGGCAGCTTCGTGGACACAACAGGCATGGCCAGCTCAACCTCATTAGTGTCGGTGCCTGTGGTGGCCCGAGCACTCTGCCATTGAAAACGGGCTCTCGAGCTCCATTTTTGGCTGCGACAGCCTCCTGCAACCCTCTGCCAGTGAAAACAGAGCTCGGGCAGCCCTCCTGAGCTCTGTTTTCACCGGTAGAGGGTTGCAGGAGGCTGTTGCAGCGAAAATGGAGCTCAGGAGCCCATTTTTGCTTGCAGAGGCACCATGGGCTAGTCCTTCACTGTTTCCAGGTTGGCCGCATGGGCTGGATCTAAGCACCCCATAGCTGGATCAGGTCTGCAGGCCTTGAGTTTGACACCCCTGTCTTAGAATACAGAGGCAGCAGTGGCCTTGGACAAGATTGTAACTAAGTGGCCTGTCCCTATTAATCAATCCACAGAGCGTTTTGGTTCCAGGAGATGAAGCAACAGAAAAGACTCTCATCTCCTTCGGGTAAAAGAGAAGGAATGAGTTCAGCTGAATACCGGGAAGAACTCAGATTCCCATCTATACTATGATGATAAGATCTCCTTGAATCATTGTTAGCAAAAGTATTTGATATGTCGGTAAGGGAAAAAGCATTTTCTCTATTGCTCTCCCCTTGTGAAATATCACCCAACAATTAGGATGGGAACCAATACTACAATTTTTTATTTTTCATTTGTCCAATACACATAACATAATCTATTAACTCTTAATTTTGAGAATTTGGTGAGAAAGAGAGAGAGAGAGTGAGGGAAAATACATTGTCTGATATAACTATACCATTCCTTAGAAATTCTGCGGGCGAGAAAAGGCAATCATATAATATATTTGAAGGAAAATGGCCTGGTGTTGGGAGAGTTGATGAAGTCATGCAGAGAAGTGAAATAGATTTAATTATGAATGAAAAGGTTAAAATATACACCAGAAGCTATGAATTAGTATCAATTGCTTTGTTGTGTGAATGAAAGTAGGACAGTTAGTGATATTTTTATGTTGTGCTCCAGTATTTGATAATAATGAAAGAACTAAATATGAATTTTGGAAAAAAAATGTGCAACATTCTGCATAACTGTTACCCAGAAAAAAAATATTTGGGTAGGTAATGTCAATGGACTAATGGGAAGAAAATAAGAGAGTATAGCCAATTTGACTGGTCCATTTGGAAATCCAAGAATAAATGAGAATGGTAAGTGATCGGTGAGGTATAGTTAAGGAAAATATCCATTTCAAATACCTGCTTTAAACCTAAAGGAAAAGGGAAACAACTGTCCAGTTGTGTCTTACTCTAGAGGGCAGAGTTCATCTCCATTTCTTACCAGAGCCAGCATTGTATGAAGATATTTCTGTGGTCATGTGGCCAGCATGACTATATGCAGAGGGGCATGGAACGCTGTTATTTCCCACTGAAATGGTACCTATTTATCTATTTGCCTTTGCATGCTTTTGGTCTGCTAGATGGGCAGGAGCTCGGTCAAGGACAGGAGTTCACCCCATCACGCAGTGCTTGACTCTCGAAACCAGGCTGTCAGCTTTCCAGCTGAAAAGCTCAGCTTCTTTAACCACTGAGCCATTGTGTCCCCTGCTTTAAACATATTTTTTTTATAAAGGGAGAATATTCATGTCCTGGAAATATGGTTTGGTTAATGACTGCATTCATCAGTCTGATGGATCACAAGTTTTCGTGACTTGTTTTATGAATCTCTACCACATAATTAAACCTTCTGTTTATCTATATATAATTTTCATAGTTTAGAGTTCATATTTATATTTTCAGTTCTTTCTAATACTTTAGGAGAAAAGAAATAGAAATGGGTCCCATTTTATCTAGAATTATGGTTAGCTGTCATTTCTGCCTTATCTAAATGTATCTGCAAAACAGATGAGCTTGGAGCTTAATCATCTTTGATTACTTGTAATTAAGATTCCAATTAGCAAACTTTCTTATACTGCCAGTACTCATTTCATAACTCATTTGTCAATACTGCCAAGTGAATTGTGTACTAGTCTTTAATTTGGAAGAGGACACCTGTGTTTTCAGAATCCCATTTAACTTTCAGGATCCCTTAATTTTTAATGTGAAGGATCTTTTAAATGATTTAAACGGGATTTAATTAATTGAAATTGTAATCTAAATTAAAATAGATTCTTTTTTATCTTGGATAAAACTATTATTTAATTTAGACATTAGCCTTTTCTTAGTATACATCTACTGCTTTATACGTCTATAGCTTCTAACATCTCCACCATTAGCTATGCTTGAAGGAGTATTGAATTACAGTTTGGCAACAATTGGAGGGCTACAGATTGTCAATTGTACAGTCAAAGTTTACAGTGACAGGTATGTACCAGAGCATTTTCTGAGTTTAGATGAATACAGTGATTATATTTAATGATTTACTGTTCTTAAAAGGAAATTTACATTTTATAATTCTAGGTATGTTCATGTTTTTCTGCTTCCAAATACGTTCAATTGACATTGTCACCATATAACAACAGTAGGAAAGAAAGTATGAGGCAGAAAAAAGATGAATTTCAAAACAATCTGATTTAAAACAAATATTTTACATTTTCTTTTATTTCTTAGAAATTTAATTATTTCAGTCAACGTTTAAGTTGTCTTGATTTTTAGTAAAGACTATTCACAAGCACCTTTTGCAATTAACAGGGCCATTTAAAAGCTGAGTTTTGAAAGCAGGTTTGGAAGGGAAATTTTAAGAGGCAGCTCTAGTACAACTGGTAATCAAGTGTGAAGTTTTATATCATTGCTGAGCATTATTAATTGTCAGAAGGTTATTTTGCTTCTAATGCTTGAAAAATTATACTTGATATTTGATAGAAGACATAATCTATGAGTCATACTGGATGTGGGATTCCTAATTATCTAGAATGTTCTTAGATAACACTTCTCAAGTGATTTCTGGCATAAAATGCCACATGGTATTTTTGGGCCTATATTTATATTAATTACCCCTGTTGTGCAATTATGATACTAGTAGCCCTCATTGGTAAAATGTCTGGTATATGAGTATGTCTGAAATTAGAAATTAGAGAAGAATTGTATATTCTGTGGTATCACAGTGGCTACACTTATATTACCCCTTGAGATACAAAATTAATCAACTACATTTTAGACTAGCATGTGGTAGAAACAGCCTATGTGATCAGTGTGGTATAGCATGTGAATCCAGAAAAGTTGGTTAACTAAGTGAAAAGTAATTAGGTAAGCCATTGTTATATGTGTGAAGTTAGCATAGACACTACAGTTTAATTTTATTTACAGTTATAACCAATCTTTCTGCCTGAAGGACAAGACAAAACAGTCGCTCCTCAAAACAAATTTTGTCATAGGTTAGGGTTAGGAGACAATATACTTACAAAAAAAGCAATTGTCAAGACCAATTTGTGATCTCTAGCTATAAAATCCTTCAGAAAGTCTGGATGAAGAAAAACTGATGTGCATAATAAAACTGTTGAGAACATGTTGGAACAAATAATTCAGTGATATATTCCACTCCTCACTGGGAACACTAATAATGAAGCTATAACTTAAATATTGTGGAGACATAATATAAACACAAGAGTCATGGCGAAGACCTTGGTGTCTGTACAAAATGAAGGCAATTGAAAAAGACTCTGACAGTAAGTTCAACACAACCATGAACTTAAAATAAGTCTAAGAAGAAGTTACCAACAGACAATCTGGACAAAATTGTCAATCAGGATATGGAGAATTGGAAGTGACTGAACAACTGAATAACAAAAGGTGCTGGGAACAGATGGATCAAAGAAGGATTAGAAACTATTGATGAATAGAAGTTGACCATTGAAATATTGGTACCAAGAGTTAGGAAATTAGCAAAGAGATGAGAATAAAAAGTTAAATATACTATGTTGTGCATACTTAAAGCCAGGTTATTTTTGGAAATGT